CTGTGGTTCTCTAGCACTGAGTGTCTCACATCTCAGGGACCTTCCTAATTATGGGGCTATTCCCTGCTCTGAAAGGAAGGGGGTTTCTTCAAATTAATATAAAACAGGAAGCAAAAGCAAATTTCAGTTTTGAGGGAAAACTCAAAACTTCATTTTGTTTGTTTGTTTGTTTCTTCATTTTGAGGGACAAAAAAATTCCTTTTATTTCCTACAGAATTCTCATTTCTAGTTCTTTAGAGATTATTACACAGAGCACTGCACTTTACTATGGAGGAATAATTTTCCACTGAAATAGCTTTTCAGGTGATGCAAAGATTAGGAAATGTGCCTGCCTTCTACAGATGTTCTGGTGAGCTCCTTAAAAAAAAACAGGAAAGAAAAAATAATAGCAAGCCACAAACAGAAAATAGCTCTAGCATCACCCTCATCTTCCCCTAGGTTTGGGCCTGAGGCATATGCTTTGCTGCTGCTTGCATCACACAGATTCATAAATGTTGGTCAAATTGCTGAATACAGAGAGAGAGAGTGAGAGAGAACGAATTGGTAGATAGTATAATAATACAAGATGTGTTTCCTTTGAGAACTTTAAAAAGTCTTTGAAGACTAGGCTAAGGAAATTTTCTTGAGAGACATGGAGGAAGCATTCCCCATGATTTAAAACCAGTTCTGGTCCATTTGCAGTTTTAAAAACACCTGGAGCTGGTGTCTGGTTATTCACAAGACTCTCCAAATGACAGTGGATTCAGCTGGATAGAGACAGTAGGTCCCAGAGGAGATGCAGTGCCTGAGGCCAATGGAGGCAAGCCTGCTTGTTTGGGGAGGACTGCCTGTAGTGCTGGGTGTCAATCAGCTCTTGTGGCAAGTGCCTGCCTGTCTCTAGGAAGGGCTGCCTGAAAACACATTAGGGCTTGGCATGTGCTAAATATCTCGATGACACCCCATTGCTTTGCTTACTATAGGTCTTTTCTGCTTCTCAAATCACCTCAGACTCTTTTTTCGAGGTACTGAATCTCAGAAGGAAGGTTAGATAGCTGAAAGTGCTCATAAAATGATCTGAAAGTTGAAGTCAATGCAGTTCTTGTCAAGATGTGGATACAGCTAATTTTCTTGGAGAAGAAAGAAGAGTTTACTCAAAACACAATTCTTCTACTGTACTGTGCTTGTGGTGTTCAGTGCCCCCATTCTTAACAGACTCTATCGTATCTGTTTAGCAACGTTAATATTTGTTTATATAAGTCAGTTGTTTTGTATCTTTGAGTTGTCTTGTCTCCTCACTGAGAGAGGGGGTCAAGGCTCTTGAAAGCACCTTTTCATTAAACCACGTGTACAAGTATCCTGCCCTAAGGAGAGTTCAGGAGGATCCTCAGTGCAATCAATTAAGAGTAAATTTTGCAGGGCTTTTGAATTACCTAACTCCAAAACATATGAAAACAAAACAGTAAAAACACCTCACAAAACAACATTCAGTTTTCCAGGATTTGAATTGTGTTAACAGAGGGAAGAGGAAACACAAAACAATTCTGAAGCCCTAAATGAAATATATTATTATTTTCAATAGGAAAACTCTCAGGAAAACAGTATTTCTGTCATATTTCTGCATATTACTAAAGTGCTAAAAAACAATTTCTAGATCAAACACTAATAATTCTCCATATAACTGCTGGACTAAACTCTTAGTTTTATGGATTAACTGTTCTCAAGATTGGGGGATTTCTTCCCTTCCCAGAAGTCATACGACAAACTCTACTGCAGATTTTTCTCCTAGATGCCTTTCTCTTTTTGGTCGCTAACACTTATTACTGGAGCATAAATGCAAGGGTTGGAGAGCGCTGAGCTGTGAAGATTCCACACAATACTCTCCTCCTAGCCCACATGCAGTGACAGTGAAGAGCCCTGTCCATGCCCAAAACCACGGACCTCTAGGACAGGCATCACCAGGGCTCACTGCACAACTCTCCAGTTGGGAGGGCTTCCCTTTACCCATGTTGGCACACAGGGGCATCATGGACTTAAAGATTACATTAAAAAGACCGGAAAGATCTACCACAGGGGAAAGCACCACATCCCTCTGTATCAGATGTCTTGAGCAGGCTGAGGCAATACCTCCAATAAAGGATGTTTAAATCCAGATCAGACAATCATACGACAGCTGAGATACCACCAATCCTTTCTTTCCAAGGATTTTTTTCCCACCTGCTCCCAAACACGGGCTCTCACATCTGCTCCATGGGTTCAGAGTGACTAGATACAGACCTTTGGGAATCTCTTGGGTTTTCAATCAACCGCCACTGACATAAATGCATTGGATGAATTTTCTGCTTGTAGGAAACTACTACTCTGTCTCCAGCATGACAGAAGGGTAGCAATGGGTTTAGGGAACCAGCAAGTGTCATTTGGTTTCCTTCAGAATTTTTAATTCTTCCCCTCGCTGTGCACCCAAGTTATTTGGTTTTGACCTGGTATGATGAGAGCGAATTCTTGCTGACTGGCACCACAGTAACTCAAGCAACTCTTGAAAGGGAGATGGAAAAGGCACATGTCATTACAGTGCCAGTAACCGTTCTTGAGCCTGCCTCAAAAAAGAAAGTTCAGTTCATATACTGAGCTTTTATTTCACCTCTTATTGTATTACTCTTCAAACACCCTTGGAGATATACGAACTATAGACAGCACATTACTCAACTGTAAAAGGTTACAGCCCCTGAGAACAACTAGAAAATTTGCCACTAAATAACTTGCTCATTTGGGGGCAAAGAGATATTTGCATCAGTTGTGACTTCTGCTGTTTTCTACGCCAGCAGCATTGCTTTTTGCACTCCCTCCCTTTTCAGCCTCATGAAGGAGCTGTAGAAGAGCCTGAGAAACCAGCCTGTTCTATCATGTCCAAAAGCCATCCTGGCATTCACAGCAGCTCCCCGTTTGATTTCTTAGCTCTCTTCTGTTGTATCAATTGATGGTCTATTTTGGAAAGAAACTATAAACACTTACTGAAACAATTTTATCAGTGTGGAGGTAAATTGAAGATAGCAAATAAGTCCAAGGCACAGATGTCTGTAAATTGCAAGTTGCAACAGCTGGATGTTTTAAGAGCCCAAGAGTCCACGATCCAATCCACTATGGCAGGTCCTGTGTCATACTCAGTGCTCTCTGATAGCGACCATGAAGATGAGAAAGAAACACCTCTACCAGTTTGATCTTCAAAGGTAATTTTGAGGTTTTCTAGGGCTTGCTGTTTATTTTTAACTCTGCTTTTTTCATAGAAACGGAACTCAGATATCTGGACATCTGCTTTTCTGTAACCGTCTGCTTATAATACATTTGTTGCTAATATGGTGAATGAAGTGGAGAATTTTAAAAAGCCCTTTATTATTTCTGCTTTAGAAGAGTGGTGAGCTCTGAAAACTTTGTTAATTGACATTTTTTAATTTTTTTTTTTCAAGACAAGGAAATCCCCCATACTCATCAGGGGAAAGTTCCCCTTTATTTCCATACTGCAAACAAAACACATTTCAGGTAACACTTCGTTACTTGACTAAGTAAACATGCCAACATCTCAAAACAGCTCAAAAAATTCCCCTTCCTGAGCGCTGAATGAGCTCCTACACCATATAGTGGCAATATAGATGTGGGAAGAAAATTTTAAACACATTATTTAAAAAAAGAAACTGCTAGCTCTTAGCATCTTAGGACATACCCTTAATTAGATTATTTGGAATTATTCTAATTTAGTTTTTAGTGAAAATAAATTTTCTACCCGTAGTTTCTCATTGTCAAACCAGAGGAAAGTACAAAGACAGAAGGTGCTAACAAGCTCAGAGTTAAAGATACCTAAATACCTCTTACTGACAGTTTCTCCAGAAAATGCTATTAGTGATGTCACACATACTACATCAAGTATCCCAAGAAATAATACTAACTCAAACAGCAACCTTAGTAAACTGAAAACTTTTTCATTTTGCACAATTTCATAAAAATTTTCTCTCTTAACAGGAAAGGTCTGTTACATATCAAAAAGAAGATCAGAAGATCCATAATATGTCACATAGTGGGGATTTCCAGGTTTGATTTTTAAGAAATGCTACATGTTAAAATAAAAATCCCTATTGTCTTAATCATGCATGACTGACATGTAATGCACCTGTGAATCTGGACCATAGTGGCCTTCAAACAGCATATAATCTCTGAAATCCTTTAAAATACAAACCATATATGATGAACTTCTTTAGCCCATGGCACCCTTAAGAATTGGATTGCCTCTCCTCATTTTGACAAAGTTGTACCTTTATATACTGGCCAAAATATGAAAAAATGTGACAAAGTCCATTAACTAGAGTAAATGAGATCTCTAAGTTTTAAAAGTATGTTGTAAAGATGTATTGCAAAGCACAACAAAGCCAAGGTAGTAGTCATCATTACTGATTAAATAAGCCCAGGTATCAAGATTATGAAATGCCACGGCTTCACCTTTTGAGTTACTGTATGGAACTGCTGCAAATGGAAAACAAAACACAGAAATTAAATGCCTCAAGGTGTGGAAGGACTTATTTTTTAAAAAAAAAGCATCAGCAAATGACTGGGGTGGAGTGGGCACACTCACAAAGTTGTGCATTAGAAAAGTAAAAATCTTTGCTCAACCTAAAAATCACTGCTCAGAGAAGTTTGTTTGCTGTGTTTAGGCACTTTAGCATCTTCAGACAACCACGTACCTCTCACAACATGTACCCATTGCTCAGTGAAAAGCAATTATTTATAAACTAGTAAGAGCATATTTTTAGGATCCTGTCTATAGCACTCGCTGGGGCCTTTCTTAAAGCCTCTCCAATCGAGCAGGAGGCTGCCAAGCATTCTCAAGCAGACAAGGAGCTGCATGCAAGGTCAGCACTGGCATTTTGATGCAATCACTTCCCCACTGATATTGCTAAGCCATCTCTCTCCCAGCTGAGAAAAGTTAAGCAATGTGTTTTTAAAACAGTGGCTGTGAGGAGCCTTTGTTTGCATACCTGTTTCATCAGGTGAGCTTGGTGAGGCACTGTCCTGGGACAAGGTAGTCCAGCTGGAGTCCTCATCACTTGGGGCCAGGTTTTGAATCCTATGGAGGGCACAATCTGTTTTGGCCCCAGTTTTTGGGTGATCCTTCTTAGTCTCAGGGCTTGATGACACTGTGGCAACCTGGCCATCCTCTGGGCTTGGCAGCTTGTTTTGTTTCCGGGGCAGGACTTCCCCATTGACAATAACAGTAGAAGCCTGGCTGTTGCTTTGTGCAGACTTATCCTCCATCGCAACAAAACCCTGCTCAAGCTCTCTAGCTGATGTCTCTAGATCCGCATAGTAATTCAGGAAGCTCTTGGTCCTCCTTGGCTGCAAAGGTAATATTTCACAGCCAGAGGAATCCTGTGGGTTCGGCTCTTTGCCTTCAAACTTCTCAGAAGTTACACTTACGCCTGCAGTGGTACTGAGGTTTTTGTTGGGATCCTGCTGTCCCTGCTCTGCAGCTTTCCTGAGCTGGTTTTCTCCATTCTTCACCAGCTTTATATTGGCAGAGCTGTTCCCCAGAAGGGGCTGAGCTGCTGGATCGGAAAGACCCATGGCTGTCTGAATGTTAGTCAGTGCATATTTTTTCCTGCATTTCGGAGGAGTGCTGTTCTTGGTCTCTGTGTGCCTAATTTCTGCATTCAGGAGTTCGTTGTGAGAGGAGCGCAGGTTCAGGGTGTTCGGCGGGGTGGCGGGGCTGTTGCGGTTCACAACGTCCGTCGTGCTGCCGCTTGCCATAAACACTGCCAACGCGTCCACACCGGAATCGACTGGAAAAGCGAAAGAAACAGTCATGAAACACATTCATTATATACACTATTTTGCTAGGGCTTCTGGTAAAGGGATGTAGCACTTTACGTAACTGTTTTACAGGAAGAAAATTACCACGACCTAAGTGGGTAAGAGAACAGACAAAAGCTTAGCTTATTTAATAAGGAAAAACAGAGGCAGAAAAAATTACAGAGAGATCATCAGGACCACGAAGCTGAGAGAAAGCAGAAAGCTTGACCCTATACAAGACAGTTTTAGGGCAGATTTTACATGTCTGATTCTGTTGCAGGCAGGCTCTGGGACAGCAGAGGTGCCCTTTGCCTTCCAGGCAAATGCCTGGAACTCCAGATATCATCCTTACCATAATTTCATTTTAGTATTTCACCTCTACCTCTGATGAAGAGAGAAAGATCTCAAGTGCTCATCATTAGGAAGCAGAAAATTTGAGAAATTTTAAGCAGACTGAAGACAGATGCTGCTCCTTTTTCATCTTAGAGTAGTACTGTTACGGTTAAGCTTGACTGGCTGGTCAGTTGCTGACTCTTAAAACCTGCATTTTCTCTGCTATTTGTCTGTCTTTCTCTCCCCTACCTCCCCTGCCCTTTTTTTTGGTTTTTTTTTTGAGGAGGAAGGAAGTAAAGGGTCAGGGAATACGAGTAGAAGATTATTTCACAAAGGTTTATTTGATTTCTAGATCGAGGGGGGCAAAATATCCTTCTGCAATTTGATCAACTTTAAAAATAAAGAGCTGCTCCAGAGATGGCTCACCATTTCTACAGCTCATGAAGTTCAAGCTTAAGGATAAAGCATTCATCCTAGGGCAGAGTACATGAACTCCACCATTAAATAATACCATTCTTTTGTCTACTTGTAGACAAGGTTCTGATTTTTGATAGGTAGGGGCATAGATCACATTATGAAAAAACACTAAGTTTATTGAGGGAACAGATTATTAGACTATTAAAAATGATCAAAATACATACATTTTTTTTAATTATAATTTGCTCTTGTACTATTTCTGGCTTCCACTAATCTGCACGAGTACTCCCTGAACATCTCAATTTAAATACTGTAGCAATCACTGTTGTTTGATTTCTGGCAACCAAATTAGAGGCCAATTAATAAATCACTCCTATCTGTCACAACATGAAACACTCTTTCTGTTGTTCCTAATTCTCAGATATCACTGACTGCTTATGTTGCACATAAAAACATATCTGGGGCTTATCCAGGAAGGAAAAGCTGTAATTTGAGCTAGTCAGAGCATTCCAGTCGAGTTGTGCTGCATCTTTGTAAATCTGTACCAACTGCTGTACAGATTTACAAGAGACTAAATATATGGGTTTTAAAAGAACATATACATAAACAGAGTGAAAAGGAGGACTTCACAACATTACCTAAATGCAGGCATAGTTGCTAGCATTCCCTCTTTTTTGATGTGCTGTCAAAGCTGCTCACTTTCAAACATCACTCTGGTTCATTTAAAACCAAGCAGATCAACTAATAAAACCCTTTGTTCCCTGAATCACCCAACTAGAACAACTTCTAAAACTTGTTAAAAACAGAATTTAAATTAAATTTTACAATTTTTCATGTTTGTCCATTTCTCAAGCCCCGGTCAGTCAGTCTAAACCAATAGCAAATTCTTCAGAAATCAGATCACCCCAAGCACACTGTGCAAAAGCCATCAGCTTAGGTAACAGTTTACGAACATCCTATGGACAATTTCAACTTTAGACACAAGAGACTTAGAAATACAACTATCACAAAATTCAAAGGAACTTTATAAATGACAAACGAACAACTTCTCAGACAAACACATCATTTACACATAACTCTCTGGATCTTACCTAAAACCAACCAGGTCTAATGCAAGCAAGGTCACGTCTGATCATACATCATGTTACCAAAGAACATGTTTTACATGAAATGACCTCTGTGTACAGACTGGCTCCTTTGGATTTTTTCTGAATCAGTTAAAAGTCTGACAATGTGAAAGTCACATAAAAGAATAAAGTAAAAGGACGGGATGATTTCCACCAACCACTTGACCTTTAGAACTTATGGAATTGCACAGTATCTAGGGATTTCACTAGATTATATTTTACTTTATGCTTCAGCAAATCTAAACAAGCATTTACATTTTTCACCAATAAATACAACTGCCACAATATGGAACAAGACTGAATTTTATTCTTCTCCTTTGTTACAAGTGAGCTACAAGTGAGCTACTTCATGCAATGTTTGCCACTATTTTTATGACTAAACAAATTTCTTAAAAAATAATCTTCCTAGATAAAGCTTAAGTATTTGCCTGCCAGCTTATCTTTAGACAGTCCCCTGCTGTTATCATTTTACTGATCAAAAATAGGGTTAAGAAACATTGCAACAAAACGTATTATGTTTTATTAATCTGCTTGATAAAGGTACTCCATTGACTTAAAATGAACATTGGCACATTGACCAATGACTGAGACAAAGACTTAAGGAGTCTTTGCAACCCATACAGTGTTTGTGAGTTCGGTGTTAAGCTGGGTTGGTGTATGACCATAAACAGAAAAATGTCAAAATCAATCTCTTACTAGACATTATCTCCTCTCCTGACCCCATTTCAAGTAATCCATTGATCAAATCATCATGATCAGACGATCAATGAACATGCAAACAGCAGCACAAGGCATGCACAGAGTGGAACAGGCTGTTCTCTCAAGGGCCAAGAGCCTGCTCGCTGGCTGTCATCCTGCACTGCCAGCCAGCCTCTGGAATGCACACAGCCAGCTTCCCTCTGCTCATGGAAGAAGACACAGAGGTGAGAAAAAGAGGGGGGGAAAGAGAAAAAGAGGCAAAAAGAGAACAAGAAATACAGATGGGAAAGGGCAGGTCTTGCATCTCAAGGGTAGAAGTTGCTACCAGACTAGGACTAACTAAAGTGCTGGAAAACGTTGGAGTGCAAGGAAACACGTGCACTGAAGAAAACCTAGACTGCATAGTAGAACAGTGTAAGGAAGAAGAGCAATATCCTGTCCCTCCTCCTCTATACAGGACATAATGATGCTCAAAACACATCACTTTTCCCAGAGGAAGCACATCCCAACTTTCTAATTAAAAACGTCAAGAAAATGCAAATTCTTCACATACCTGCCATTTCAAGCCTGAAATTCTAATCACTGACTTCCCAAATCTTTGTCTCTCCCACTGACGCTGCCTCCTTTGCTCAGGGTACCTAACTCAGTCTGGTGCTGTGCCTCTCACCAGCTAGCCAACACCGTGTGCCAGGGCTCCTGCACCCAGGACTGCCACAGGCAGACTCCACACCCCCCCCTCAGGCAGCTCTTTGTGCTGCCTGCCCACCAGCAAGGATAATGCTACTGGCACAGGGTACCACATTTTCAACTCCTCTGCCTTCTGCTGAAAAGAAAACACAGATAGACAACCAGGCCAGGAATCACTGTGTTGATACATATATCTCAACTGAAGTGGGTAAACATCTGTAAGTTCTGAGTGAGTAAAAGTAGGGTATTATACTACAAAATATCAGACTGGCGAAAAACTAACAGTAATTAGGACACTGTCATTACTGGGAATAATAACATTATTAAATTGTTGGTGCTTCAAGACAGCAGTTAGGTAGAAGATCTGTCATAGCAATTCATTAAGAGTTTTAACTTGCTAACGTTTTAGAAGAAATCACAGTTCAACTGCATACTTCTAATATTTAGAAACTTACCTAGAGATATAGATTAATATATTTTTACCAGTATAATGTGTTTAACATAGACTAGTGCCAATTTTCTAAGCATCATAATAATACAAATAATGCCATTACCTCAATAGCTTTTATTGATGTTTTTCAATTTTGTTGTGTTTACCGTTTAATGACTTTTTTGCATTGTATTGTCTACAGGAAGTTTTTAAAAAGCTGAATAGAGAATTTATTCAAAAAGGCACTGTTAAGAAGAAAAGAAAGTGCTTGCTCTTTTTTGTGTATAAGGGAGAAATGAAAGTGAAATATGGGCCTGGAAAGAAGAAGAAAAATAAGAGGAAAGTTTCACATATTTGCATAGCAGAATCTTTTAAAGGGCATCTGACCTGGAAGTACTTCTGACATGGCTCACGGGGCGTTCAGCAATGCATCAGGAAATAGATTATAATTTGAAATCTGAAAAGAGGGATCATTTAAGAATTAAAACCAAAGGAAAACACAAAAGAAAAATACCATATTTCAGAAGCTCCTGAGAGATGTTAAGCATTCTAAACAAAGCCCACAACATTACAGTGAAGATCTTTTAAGCTTTCAATGATATTTGACAGTCATTAAAAGTGTGGGAGAGGCTAGTCTACAGCAACAAGAACATGTAATTAAAAATAACTATTATATTTTTGTTAATGTACACTTTACTTGGAGAACAAGTTCAAAACTATTCTCCAGTTTTAATCAACATACTGTAGCAAAAACTTCAATACATTAGAAAAGATGAGGTTTTTCCCAATTACCCAGCTACAGCTTACTCAGGAAACCACAGCAGCATTGGTAAAAGTAAACAAAGCAATAAGGGAAGTTCACATGAAAATCTGCAGAATGAGATCTAGCATATGAACCTAAGAAGCATAGTCTGCAGGGTTAATCCCACAGGAGGGAACCATAAAAAGAAAGCTAAGCAGTAAGTTCCTGTATGGGACCTTTCCTGGTCATCTTCTTATAAGTAAACATTTTGCCTTAAAGTCTCTGTTTTGGGTATGAATGACACATAGAGTGGGAAATAAGGTATTTCTATGCATTTATGAATATTTTTGCCACTGCATCTAGGAAACGTAGGAAAGAAATAATAGAAACTATTTCATAAAGCAGATTTTCTTTCTGCAAGGGTATCTGTTGAGTACAAAACATTTAATGACAAATTCGTGCCTTGAAGTTACAGCCTCAGGTCTTATACGCTTTGGCTCTAGTTAAAGCCTAAAGCAGCTGGAGAGAATGCCTTCATTATACAAGGATTAATGC